CCCCAAAACCCCAAAACCCCAAAACCCCAGTTGATGTAATCTAATTGAATATTTGAACATGAATTATTGACAAAATACATTAAATAAATTAAAATAATAGCTAGTACAAATATGAATGCAATTATCTCAATGATAGCAACTGCTCTTGCCTCCTTTAACTTAAAAGAAGAGTTTCAGGCCTAGGTTTTTTACATGAATTATGACCCATTGAATAAACCAATTAGTGATAAGATTTAATTCTTGCAAGAAGTTTGGATTGCTGCAAATGAACTTGGATTTTGCATTTATCCTGCTGCTGTCCTTCATAGCGCTCTATTTATCAATCCTTATCTTGAGACTATTGGAATAGATGAAAGATTCAAGCATGTTGTAAGTCCAGAAAGACTTAAAACTGGATTCAAACATATGGATAAGCCTTCTCAAGACTAGATTCCTTATGTATCTCATCATGTATGGCTAACTAATCCAAAGAATCCAAAAGAAATGCTTTCATAAACTGATGGATATCATTTAATAGGATACGACTTTCATTTGAATGTAACATATACAACATTGACTAAACACAACTTCACAACATATCTCTGGACAAATAAAATTGATGCAATTCCTGAAACATAAAAATGGGCTCAAAAGCAAGGGATTATAATGAGAGAGCTTTCAGAATTTGAGAGTATGGAAGAGCATAGGCCAGTTTTAGAGGAAATCGACCGAGCTATTGAATAGAAAAATTATGCTGGAGGTGCTGATATTGCTAGACTTTTGATTTTGTATGAAATTGGAGGATTGTACACTGACCAGGATCATCAGATAATTTAATATGATCCACTTCTCAACAAATTGAATCTTTTTTTCTACGAATATACTAATGTCGGATACCACACTATTGAAAATTCAATGATAGGAGCAAGTCCAAAGAATAAGTATATCTTAGAGGCTATGAGGGCTATTATTCGCACAAGGCAAGGTGAGGTTATTCCTCATTTTGAGTCAATCTGTTTATAGTAATCTGAGCGTTATATTCACTTTGTGTCTGGACCGTAAAGAATGTCAAGGGTGTTCAATTAGATGTTAATTAACGGTGACTTAGATGATTAGTTGTATTTAGTATTGGATGAGAAAATCACATTCGATGGATGGGATTACACTAATAGTAGATATGGAAAAAAGTACAATGATGTAGTTTTCAAAGATGGAACGCATAGACTATCAGTTCAATTTAGACACCTGCCAACAGGAACATGGATGGATCGTGATAAAGAATTAAACATGTATGGCTGGTAAAATAAAAAACAGTGATTATGAAATCCACTCTCAACGATCATATATGCATTCACCAAAGTTAATCTTGATTTCATTAAATTATTTTAACTTTTTTTAATCGCCAAATTTACTTGATCCAGGGGTTTTGGGGTTTTGGGGTTTTGGGGTTTTGGGG